AGCAGCACCGCGGAGACGGAGGGGGCTTCGCCGTTGCCGCCCTGCCCGTTGGTGTGCCAGGCGGGTCTGGACGGAACGGGAGAAGACGGCTGTTACCGACATGCCGAGCCCCGCGAGCGCAGCGACGCCTGCAACAGAGCGTACCAGGAGCATGCTTTGTGGTATTATTTATTTAGGAACTGTGAGTAACTACAGCCGTAGCGGTCTCATTTTAGCAATTCGGATGGTTTAACAAACTGGGAGAACATTAGCATATTTTTATTAAGGTACAAAATACACCTCGTTGTTGCCTAAAACATTTAAAAAAAATGTGAGAAAAGCTCTGTATGCTCTAAATCAGATTCAAAACCTTTTTGTATAAGGAATTGTGGCAATACCGTGTTTAGTATAAGAAGAGGTTTTTATCAACTGGAAAGGAAAAGATGTGCTGGCAATCTGAATTTAGCAACGAAGAGTAAAGCAGTTAAAAACCATCGTGTCACCGACATTAGCTGAGCTTTGAATGTAGAGGAGCAAATCGTATGAAACAGGTACACAACTCGGTAATATCAAACAACCTAAGGCTGATATTGTACACACCTGTATTAAAGTACACTGACTACGTAGTGGTGAGGATTTAAGGTAATGGTTCTTTTTAAAGAGGTAACGTTTGAAATGCAAATGGTTGCGCTTTACACACAAAAAGTGGAAAAGAAAAAGAATCACTTTTGGAATGATGCATAGGTATAAGACACTCTGGTTTTGGATTATGCATATCACCTTGCAGCCTCTGATATTACCTCTGAACAGCAGAAAAAAATTGAAAAGTGCCAATACTGTGAAAGGAAAGCAAAGTTACTAAGTCTGAGTGCATTAGCGATTTCTGAGAAAAAAAATAGGTTTCGGATTGTTTTGTTTTGGTTTTCTGCATTTTTAAAAAATGCAACAGCCTTACTGGTGCAGGTTCAAGACAAAAACAAGACAGTCAAGCTCATAAGGTAGAAATAGGTCCTATATAGGTTAAGATTCTTTGGAAACTGCTAAGTATAAAGCAGTTTGTAATCCAGGCTACTATCTTTTTGGCTACTCCAAATATCTGTGGGAGTTTCCAGCTTATCATCAGTTGAAATCTATTTTGCAATTGCCAAATAGATGCAAGTAAAACTGTAACTAACCTGGGATTCCACGCACACACACACATGCACATGGAAGTCGCTGAGTGTACGATAACCTGTTTTTCTCACAGCAGCATATATGTATGAATCAGAAAGTCATTATTAGACTGACCAGAACAACAGGAAATATTCTCAGTCTTTGGGTTTTCAGTCTCTCTCTCAAGCGGGCAGCTGTAACTGCACTGAAGTGACAGGTTCTGTAAGGGAAGGGTGACAAGGAGCAATCAGCTCGTTAAAAGTAAGATCCGAAGTATCTCAGGAAACCGCCTGGATGTTGAGCTCTAGCCAGGATGACAGCGGCCCTAACAGCGCACGGAGGAAGGGCAGTAAATGTGTCTGAAGTCAGGGCCATGACATTCTCTTTAAAACAAATGGAGAATGACCCTTACCAACATACAAATTGGAATGCTGGCTGCGTCAGACCTTCCCTTATAGAAGATACTGCTCGAGGAGCAGCCTGTTTCTGAGGACTGGAGAGATTCACTGCGTGTCTGGCTAACGATTCCTTGTGAAGCAGGTCTTGGGGAGCCAGCTTAGCTGCAGTTTTGGCTGAGGAAAGCGACGGTATAGAGCACTGAGCTCAGTAAATAGACTGTTTTTCTTTAAGACGTTCAGAATTTAACTGTAAACTTGTTTTCCATACATTTGGTTTTAAAAATAGATTGGGCAACTTAGCTGGTGACTTACTCAAAGTAAATCCAATCCTGCTAGCAATTTACATTGCCTGCTGACTTGAATTAATGCCCATACATAAAGCAAACAGGTATCAACTGATCATGCTGAAAAAACACCCCCCCAAAGACCTACGTATCACACAAGGTGCTTTTGATAACTTGCTTTTCTGAACCTTATAAGGAGAGTCTTTAAATATTTTTTTTTTATTTTTTTTTTCTTTGAGCCTTGTTTCATTCTTCTTCCTCCTCATCTTCATCTTCTCCTTCTTTTGCCATTGTTTCCACAAGGAGTTCTGCGGTGCACGTGGCTTCCCCAAGGCTGTTAACAGCTTTGCAGGTGTATTTGGCATCATCGTCCCCACACACTTCAGAAATAGTCAAAGAACAGTTCCCATCCTCATCGTAATCTATCTGGAAGTGACGGGACTCCTTGACAGGCTGGTCGTCTTTGTACCACATCACCTCGGGGTCAGGATAGCCTGCAATAGCCCAGAGAGAACAGCGATTGCAATGAACGAGTATTAACTAATCTGTCGTTACTTCAAGCTTTAACTCCACGTCTGTGTACGGACATGCCAATATGCTGATATACAAATATTTCACTGAGTTCTATTTAAAATAAATGTAGATGATCCGAGGCTTTTTTACTTCACGTTTACCTGAAGCAACTTTATTATGAACAGCAAAAAGTTGAAAGCATTGAGGCACTCACTGGATTCCTCTTTCCAGTGCTGCAGCCGTGACTGCAGACCCGGGCAGTGTGTCTCAGCCAGCGAGGGACCCTTAACAGCGTATTTGAGGTTTACCTTCCGGCGCCGCTTTTGTGGGACCCACAGTTCCCAACACTGAGATTTAGAGTTTCAAGGGTAAGGTGTTTTGAGCTACAGCTACAATTCAACATCCTTCTCACGTTGCTCTGTTGTGGCTATTCTGAATCTTCCGCCTCCTAATCTGCTCCTCACACACCACCTTGTCCTGTACGGCGCTCGTTAGGGTACTCGAGGGAGTCTAAGCAAAGCATTTGGATTATGCATCTCAGCAGGAGTTTCAGAGCCTTTTGTGAAGGAAATGGCTCTGCTATACTGGAAGCATCCAGAGCAGGGCTGTGCAATGCATGCTGCAGAACAATCCCTTATACAGTACTCTTGGCTGCTGTAACAAACTGACGGCTTGTTGTCTCAGCCAAGTTCTGGACTGTGACGGGAGGATGACTTCCCACCGAGCAGAAATGAAGTGCAGGAGTCCCTAATACACAACGAACATTGCAGTGGTACGCTGGAAAGTTTGAGACACCAGCCACAGTACATCCATCTACTCTATTCCATGCAGTACTTATTCATGTACCCCTCACGCTGAGCATGCGTCAGCAACAATAATCCACCCTCACATCTCCGCTGTGAGGTAGGAAACACAGGCAGTGAAGGAGGTTAGGAGCACAGAAACAAACAAGCAGAAGGTCAGTGAGGCAGTTTCTGAACCTCATTTTCCGATTAGAAATTGTCTAACATAAACGCATGCAGGATGGTATCTATCTATTTTGATTTAACAGCTCTGCCTTATTTCTAGCTTTCGTCAACAGCTGTGACAGAGAGGCTTCAGTCTCACTGCAGCAGAAGCGCTCGCAGTCTTGGCCTTCGAACTGTTAGGCTGACCAAGCCCAAGCTCCTTCAGAGCCTTCTCACAAACTTATGCTGACTATCTGCACTTTCCAGTGGGAGTTTTTCGTTCTAGAACTCGTAAGTTAAACAAACTGAACAACAGTACAGTACTTCTAGATATGACTTTGGTAACCAGCATCATGACGTTATCCTTACTTCTCATGCAAATACACTTTTAGGGACTTCTTTGCCTTGAATGCAATGTATGTATGGCTTGAAGTTATCTTGAGGTCACCTGAAACTTGTCTGTCATTTCAGACAAGTGACTTCCTACTTATTCTTGGCTTCTGGTGAGCAGTCTCTAAGAGCATACTCCTGCAGCTTACGGTGCTACACTGCATCTTGTTTTTACTGTTTCTACCCTCAAAAATCACCTTACTGTTCCCACTTGCTATTCTGAATTAGTGATTCACACACTGACTCTCAGAGACTTCTGTTCTGTGGCAAGCACAGAGCAAGCCCGTGCAGCTGCAGATAGTTTCTGTTATTGCAACACATTCGTTCTGTGACATGCAGATATTGAAAAAGCAAAATGGCACCAACTCAACAATAATACAGAAAAAAAAATTGACAAACTTAAACAACAGCACAATGCAGAAAGCTAGCAAGGAAGGAAGGAAAGAAACAGATATTCTAAATCAAAGTACCTTCAATTTTGCAGTCAAATCTAGCAGCACTTCCTTCCACCACCTCTATGTCAAGGATTGTTTTAGTAAAATATGGCTTTACATGGGGCTTTTCTTCAGCCACTTCTTCAAGGAAAGCATCTGGAGGAGAGTGAAGAGGTAGTGAATTATTTTACAGGGCATGTTCTCAAAAGATGCATTTTAATTTTTAATTACCAGGCGCTAATGAAAGCATCTTTTATTTCACTTAATTCTGTAAGGCTAATAGGACAGTGAGGACGTAAGCTGCTTCGTTCTATGCCAATCTTTTGCAGCTGCACAAAGATTCAGACCATAAATAGAATGAAATCAACATGCAGGCCACCACGCTACAAATCATCTTTGTTTTTTCCTTGATTTTTTTTTCTGACCGAACTTGCACTTTAGTCAGAGGGGCAAACCCGTTCAGCCGGGATCAGGCCCGCAGTCTGTGCGGACGTGTCAAACTGACTTGCTTGGTTTTCAGAAGTGTCAGACATCTGCACCGCTGACAGTTCCACACCACAAATCCACATTTCAAGCAGGGGCGTAGGGGAATAGTGCAGACGCATTATTTTTGCTCTTAAACACCCCTGTCTGAGGAGCGTGGTTAATGCAGAGTGCATCTCTTGGTTACTGCAAGCGTTAATACTTTGTTGCTGGCTCGCTTGCATGAGAAGGCAATACATCACTGTAATCTTTGTATAAACATGCATTCTCAAACTGACAGAAAGTGCAGCTGACAAATCTGCCTTAATTCTTTGGCTTTAAAAAGAGAAGGGTTTACTGCCCATACTTATACAGGGGCATTCTGAGTAGCAGAACAATATGAGAACAACAAAATTTTGATAGATTTCTTTAAAAAAAGGAAGGTAAAAACAGAGAAAGAGAGCGAGCAGAAATAACCAACGTGATGATCGGTCTGTAGCATTTTGCTAAAAGTTTTAATAAGATTCATCACAGAGAGGTAAAAATATGGTGCAGCAAAATTCCTTACCTTCATTCTCTACCTTGTCTGCATTGATAGGGCTGGTCGGCGAGCTCCCAGAGGCCTTCCTCCCACTCATGCCAGAAATCATTGCCATGGACGACAGTCTTCCTATTGCTCGGACAGCATGGCCTGTTTTCTAAGACATAACATAAAAGGCTTCTGATCAATCCAGTCCAAAAGGCATGTGATTTTCTGCAACAATTGTGCTTCGGACAAATTATCTGGGATCTCCGCAAACCTCGCTGGAATTGTTGGACAAACTGCTTATATATAGCTCTGATGTTTTAGGAGAGACAGAGCAGGCTGGTCCGAATTACCAAATTTAGTTGCAAATATAAACTTCCCCTGATGAACTCATACCTAAATGAATGTCTCTGTTCGCTGCGGATAAAAAGCACTGTGCAAGAGGAGGGCCAGCAAAAACGCTATGTCCTGTTGAACTGGAGCTTAACTCTGGTGGCGGACGGCGCTCTCAGTAGCCACATGGGCTGGACTGAGTTTCGTCAAGGACGAATAACCAACCAGCTAATATGGAATGAATGAGAAAGTACCGTCTGCACGATGGAAGCAGACCTCCGAAAGGCTCAAGGATCAACCACCAGGATACTAATATATCCTCAAACTACATTGCCTCTATTATGGACACTTGTATTTTTGTACAGCTTGCATGAGATCCTAGGAAACACGTACAGTAGAATGTAAAAGGAAATATAAGGTAGATTTACATAAATGAATATTTTGTAGGCTACTCAAAAGGCTGGATCCAGGATTTTATACATCAACTCCTCCAGCTGTCAGAATGGCACAGATGGCCCTGCTACAACCGTTCCAGCATTAAGAGAGAAAGAAGATATGGAGACCAAATACATCAAAGAAAATTATTAAACCAGTCTGACCGAATCCACGAGAAGCTTGGTGCTCCACCAGGAAAGAACTACTGGCTTAGGAGAATGAAACTACCACAAAACTACCTTTAGAGAGGCCAGGTGGATCAGCTTTTCCCTAGCTGTTCAGGTTTGTGAAGGAGAACATCATCCCCCAGCCCTCAGTGGCATGGAGAGGGTAGGGAGGAGAGACGGTCATACCCCTGGGAGAACAGGAAGAGCTATCTTTGAACTCATGTGCCTTTTAGTAGCCTGAAATGGCAGCATCACGTCTTATATGTGTGCAGCTGTGCACCCTTCTACTGCTCGCCCGTAGAAACCAAACCTGCTTTACTGCATTCATCCTCGGCCACACCGGAGTTTCCACCCGCAGCAGAAACCACCCGGCATGACATGTTTTTCAGAATCATAAACATCAGGAAGAAAGAGACTTGTTAGGATAACAAGCTCAATTCTATGTCCTCTTCATTACCTGCCATTTTCTTCTGGCCATATATTTCTTCATCCTATCTTTGGAAAGTTTTTTGGCTTCCATGTTTTTGGTGTCTTTTTGCAGCCAAGGATGCTGAAGACATTGAGTACAATTTAAGCGACTCCTGTTTTTATATAAAAAGACTAGTCAGTGTTGCCATTAACGATGGTTGAACCTACCTGCTTTAACATTATTTTGCGCTCTCTTTTCTGAGAGCTGATTTTTCCATTTCCTAAATTTAGCGACAGAGATCACATGGCACTGCTTTCCCAGCCGTGCTTACTTCTTAAACTCACTTTCACAATTTCTGTAGGTTTTTTTGAGAGAAAACTGTGCATTTTTAAGTGTTAATAAAACATTATAAAACAAAGCATGAAAAGCCCTATGTTTCAGGCATGGAACACGTACAACAGAGCCACAATGGCAATGATTCAGCCCCCTCATGCTGGCAGAACCCTGTCCCAGGTCTCCTTTCCGTCACTTACAGAGATTTCCCCTCTCCCACCCCTTAATACCCTCCTTCCTCGCAGCACTGAGCATTTAACAACACAGAAATGTCCAAAGCTCTGTTCAAGCCACGCCCGTTCTTCACTTTGTGCGTGGTACACAGACAAATAACCCTCTGTTCTCCATCCACCCGACTGCAGGCTCGCTGGAGGAAGAACGTTTTCTTCCCTTGGACTGTTCAGAGTCTGCTGTGAACAGGGCTCCAACTCTCTTTTTTTTTTTCTTGCTTGTTTACTAGATTTATAGCAAAGCTGCCTACTCAGAGGTACCGCACTTCAAAGCAACACATGGAAATAAATATAGCAAAATTGCAGCCCATTCAGGTCAAGACAGAAAGTGGCATGCAGGAACCTGTGTCACGCTACAGGGAAGAGAAGAGCAGCCACACAAAACCTCAGGCTGCATCTTGCCTAAGGGAAGGGAAAGGCAGGGCTCCGCCAGGACCCTGCACCCTAACACAAACGAGAGCTGCGCGCAGGGACAGACGGGCACACAGAGCTGCTTATAAAGTATCGCCAGGGGTGCCTGCGCCGAGGGGCAGATGCGCAGTGGGGAAACAGGAATGACCAGTTCAGCTAAATGCAAGCATAGAAATTGTATCAAGTCTGACAGCTTTACTTCATGTCTTTCTTTAGTAGATTGCTGATAAAGTCCTTGGCATCGTCAGAGATTTCGTCAAAAGCCTCATCATCGAAGTCCCACGTTGCTGAGGTAACATTGGCTAGGGTTTCGTTGTCGTTGTCTCCCATGAAAGGAGAAAGTCCACTGACCCTGGGGACAGAACAGACAGACACAAAACAAGCAGTGTCAATTTGCAAATTATCTGAGGAGCAAATTAAAATCGCGTGTGACATCTCCTATGCTCTGCAGAGATTTATCAGTAAAAGCTTTTTTTTTTTTTAAAAAAAAAAAAGACTCTGCTAATTACATATAGTCTTATGGGAAGGGAACTGGAATTTTGACTGCAAAACTGAAAGGAAAATTTCTGCTTTCTCTTTTCTGTTTTTGAGGAGAGAACTAGAATTAGATGAAAGTGGAGCATACTAGTTTGTTAAATGACTTTTCTAGTGCTGCATAAATAATACTGCAATTTTATTTGGGTATTCAAATTCAAGCTGAGTAGCTTTTTTCTTTTTTTTCCTTGTGCGTTCGGAATGATTTTGCTACATTTACTGTCAAACCAAGTTTTTTTGTACAGTTTATTCCACTTACTCCTGCAGAGAGAGCCCAATAAGATGCATCACGAAATCATGAAATCCACAGGGCTACTTTGTAAACAAAACTACCTTGAATTATATAGCCAGATAAACCGGTGCTAAGTCACTGCAGGCTGTAGAGTTATGCAGATGCATCCAAAAGTAATTTGCTCTTTATGTTCTCAATCAGTCATGATGATGCATAAAATGAAAATAATACTCTTTTATAACCTAAGGTGAGCTGCCAAGGCTTTTTACTCAATATAAGTGATAAAGTGCCAGTGAAAGGCAATTACAGAACATCATGGTGTCATTTTTCGGAGTATCTTTCTCCGGTTGAGCGTTGTCCTTTATTATACCGTACCTTTGTGCATCCAGATACTTTTGATTCCTGTATATATCGCCCTTTCAGCAAAAATTTTCAGGTGAAAGGTTACTTATTCCTTATAACTACAAGTTATTCAGTTTTCCAGGTCTTCTTCCTGGCATGCAGTTTAGATAATAACCGATTCTTTGTGAAATTTTACAGACTTTACTTGCTTTCTCTGTACAATCATGTTAACCGGTTAAATTACATCTCAACAGTAGAACTTTTTTTTTTTTAATATGGAATAGAACTGGAGTTTAGGGTTCTGAAAATACTGTATGGTAGAATATCGTGATGCTACTGAATATCACAGAACAGACTGGCAGAAAAAGAGATTGGGATCAAATAAAGTGAGCTACTAGAGTACTAATATTAGTATAATCTCCTCCTCCAAAGTTATTTTCCTACTCTTTTGTCACTAATTACATTCAAAATCTGATTTGGAACATGTTCCTAAGGATTTTACTTCTATAAGCAAAGCAGAAACACACACTCTTTGAAGCCTCAGACAAAGCAAGTACTAAATCTTTTACCATTTCTGGAAGTTGTGTGCAGTACAGCTGAGTCTAGAATCTTACATGTATACTACAGAAATTCGCTAGTAATAATACATGAGGTGAAGATAAAAGGTTTGTTTCTTCTCAGGCAGAAAGAGGTAAATCAGAACAGAAGGTATTTGCTGTCCTACTTCCCATTATATGGGGTGCGTTCAAATGCCCCGGTGAAGCACAACTTTATAAATGTATAAGGTGGCATAAACCCTTTTATGAACATATAATAGACACGAGTTGCTGAAAGATTAGCATACCAAAAAATGCTCACATAAACCAACTTCACCATGACTGTCCTCTGTCTTTGACGCTTACTTTGCTGGAAGAGCCCAGGTTTATGCCCGATAGCACTGGAGAGCTGGTACAGCTGCTGTGCGGTGGGAGACTCTGTTCGGCCCTCACGGCCGGGTAAATCGTTCAAGCAAAATCTCTGTCCGGGAATCCGCAAAGCACTCCTGCAGGGCCTTAAATCTGTCTCCACGCCAATATTTAAGCACTTTCCTATTCATGACAATGTCATTGTTCTCTATAATGTTTTTGAAAGTGAAAAAATCTCGTCCAGACTGCAGTTCTAAGTTTTGGGTTCCAGACACTGATTGCTAAGTTGTCTCTTTTTTGCCTGTGTAGTAAGTGCAATAATCTCTCAACCAACACAGCAGCTGCTAAAAGGCTCACATTTTATACAAATGAAGGGTCTGTGAATTATTTCTTTAGTTCACTGTCGATACAGGAGCTGTACGCCTTCCCTTCATCCAGTCAAGCTTCCAGAGGACGCACTTGGGCAGCCAGAGCCGTAACAATCCCGTTCCCCTTCAATACTTGATCAAAGTATGGCAAAGGTGACCTCTGCACAGTATTACCACAGAGAGGATTGTGCAGGTCTTGTGCTACATTAGAGAATATTTTGGCCTATTTCCAGAGATTAAAGCTGCAGTCCTGAGAGATCATTCCCATGCTAAAAAGGCTGCTGCAGATACGGAGACATTGCTTCATGTGGAGACACCACTGCTCCGTGCTTCCGTAAGAGGCAGTGCTTATAAAGACATCTAGCTTTCTGGGCACAGGGATGCTGCGTGTCACACGCAGCTTTTGAGGGATAAGAATAAATACGAGGAAATTAGGGAGGAGGAAAAAACTCTTTGGTTGTTTTGGTTGGCTTTTTTTTTTTTTTTTTTTTTAAGAATTGCATGACAGAATTATCTGATAAAATCTTAAAGGCTGTGGTAGGACTGGACCATCCCATGCATTTGGTAAATTACTGGATGGGTATCGGTGAAGCCTCCATGCACTTTGTCATTTCCAAACAGCGGTGTAACAGTGTCCATTTCAATGATTCACTGAACCTAGTTTCATATTTTGGAATGTACTGTTGCAAATTTGTAAGTCTAAAATAATTTTCTCTCTCTACCACAGTTTTACTCTGTGAATCAGTTGCCTTGCCATGGAAATACTTTTAAGGAAAACTAGATCCTTGTCTATAGTCAGAAAACAAAATCCAGCAACTAGTGTAGATTATAACCAGAAATTCTTATCTGTAGCACAGATTTCATTGACCTAAGTCTTGGTTGTTCATTTCTTCATACCCATTTAAAGTAATAATGTCCCAGAAACTCTTTTGCCAGATTATGGAAACAATTTCTTTTTGGAATGCTGCAGCTAAGTGATAAAGATGAGCTACCGCTCCAGAAAATTAATACTGAGCTGACAACTGCAAAGTTACTGTTAGACAAGCAGCAAGTTGTTTACTGAAAACATTTTTCCAGCTACTTCACCAGGCATCTTCCTGGCATGTTAAGAACCATTTGTTTAGACAATCTTTCACAGTTTCTACTTCTAAATAAAGAAGAAGGATATTTTATCGTCCAGAAGTTCCTTAATATTTATTGGTCTGTTCTAACAAAGCTCTGAGTGCAGATTTAGAAACGTTAAGATCAAAAGGTTCCAGTGTGGTCGCCAGTCTCACTACCTGTGTAACACACAACAGCATTGAATTTGGAGATCTTTGCATGAGGACTGCCACTAATCTGGGCAGGATGAGTTTACTGCATGTCTCAAAAGGGAGACTCTGAGCATTCCTCTGCAAGCAGTGTTTGCAGCAGCAGCTGATTTGGGTGGACGACACCGAGCTGCTCCTCACAGTCTTTGCATGTATTAGCAGTGATAGAAGGGAACAGATTGCAGTATGAAGAGTACTCTCTGCTTCTGATAAACCTGTGCAGGTCATGTCCAATAAGCACATGATAATGCCAGCACCGAAAGGTGAATGATGCTGAAAGATCTT